GACAAATCAAAACGGTATGCAATTTTAATTAGATTTTTCAATCAGAGTTTGTATGAAACAATTAAATAGTTCATTATAAGTATAAATATTTATTTTTAATAATTATTTTTGCTAAATTTTCATTCACAAAGATTGTGCTGAAAACCGCATGTGTTAAATTCTAAAACATAAAAATAATATAAAGAGCTTATTAAATCTTTAAAATTATTTAAAATATATATATTTTTTATTATGACAAAAAACTGTTTTCATTGAAAATCATGAAATCATGAAAATTTTAGCTTGTTTCAACACTGCTCTAAGTGGCCCAATACCGTTTAAAAGAATATTTTAATATTTTTTTATAAGTTAAGACCCATATTTATGTAAAAAAGTTTAACTAACGAAAATCATCCATTGGATTGTATATTATCTTTATTTATTAGTTTAACTCAATTAGTTAAACTTACTTACTTTCGTAGGATAGAATGTTTAGTGCCTATTTAAATTTTTACATTAATATGGGTGTATACATGTTTTTGATATGTTTTATAATGTTGTGTTTTATATGTTTATAATTTATGATGTATGTTTTATACTGTATTATATTATGTTTTTATGTCTTATATTTCATTACAAAAGTGAGTCATTATATATTTGAGACCATATGTTTGGAGTGCGAGATATATGGAATGTTGCGTTTTTAAAGTTACTTTTTACTAAACTACAAATACTTATTTTCTAACTTTAAACAGACATTGTAAATGTCTTCATAACAGTTAGCTACATTACTAAGAGCTTAAAGAAATTTTAGAGACTTCAATAGTTAAAACTAACATTCATTGTATAGTTTTGCTTGTTTCAAATTGAACCAGTTGATGAAACAACAACAAATGTTTGTTTGCTTACGACGACAACAAAACAAAACAATGGTAAACGTGAATTTTGTATAGTAAACAATCGATTTACGTAGTAAACAATGTAATGATGAATATTCAGTTCATAGATAATGAATATATAACGAAAAAGTTCAATTCACTGTAGTTTTCTGAAAATGTTTTTTTTTTGTACAGTCAATCAATTAATCAATTATTGATGGGGACGCCACTATGTGCGTATTTAAACCCAAATATGGGTGAAGGGTGAGTGTAGGATGATTGGCGCGATCTTGCAGTCATGTTAGTAACTAAGGCTGACATATACCTTAGACACAGCTGTTAATTAATAACCTAAACAGCTAATGGCAACTAAGGGACCTACAGTTTATAGTGGAATCCGAACCAAATTATTGCCCTGGTATTAACAAAATGGTCTAATTGTCAGTATAGTATTGCGGATAGTCGTAGTAGTCAGTAGTTATTCAGTATTGTGTAAGACCCGCCTTAAGATTATTCAAGAAGTATAATGAAACAGTCTAGTTATACAAAAAGAGATTAATTGTCTGGTACACGACAAGTTATAGTGCACAAAACTATAGAATGAGTTCAAACTAAATTAAAAACGATTTTCCAACTGAGCGTTGGAATTGCATCTCAGTAAGCCTTATACGCAATACACATAAAACAATCCTAGCAACTTCAAATAATGATACTGCATAAAGTGTCCTCCGCTGCACCATAAAGTATTAAGGTTCGTTGGTTTCTAATGGCAAACAGCGAGAGATATATTTCCCTTTATCACGATCAGCCTAAGCGTTTAATAATAACGTGTAGAGTTGAACAATAATATGTTCTTTTTATTCAAAAGTGTTGGTTAATAGTTGATAATTGAATTTAAATATAGTTTGCTGGTAATCTGGATCATGATACGAGGGAAAACTATTCTGATGAATTGTTTATAGGAGCCGTAAGAGCTGAAGCTTTATGTGATTCATAATCAAAATAAAGCGTTGTTAACTTTAGAACTTTACTTTATACAAGTATGTATCCTCAATGATCAATAAATCATTCTTGTACATGATTCATTGCATAAATGTCCATATTTCTCAACTAGCTTGGAGAAGACATTGAAGATATCCTGTGAATTGAAAAGAAAATATATCTCTGACCTAATTTTAAGATCTAGATATTTACTAGGGATTAGGCAATCAATGTACAATATATGTTATTCATACATCTTTTAAGAAGATTCATTTATGGAAATGGAACAAACTTGGAAGAATCAACAATTAAAACCAAAATACATTGTACTACTATAACTTAGGAAATGGGGCTTGTTTTACTTCAGTTATTCATTTGATTGTGGCATTAGCTACATAATTACATAACCATTCTACCTTGTTAGAATTTGATTAAGTTTTAACGGAAGATTAATTAAACTATCGTTAGCATGACTTTGGTGAAATAGGGCCTTAATCAATTTTAGGATGACAATGATGATAACACCAATGAAAGTATAATGTTCAAAAACATAGATTAAACCAATTGTCCTAAAAAAATTACAATGATAAAATAAGTTACAAAAATTAAGATAATCAATAACATGGCTTTGAATATTGTCCCATACAAGAGTAGTAAATTCTTTAAATTCTCGACGAAAAAACTTAATTTTTTTAAATGACTTTATTATCCAACATAATATATTAGATTTATTTTCTTTCACTATGCATAGGACATGTAGAAAGTATTATTTTAATTAAAATGTGTGTCTCCTCGTCAGAACTGCACAGCTCATCGGGTAATCCAAGGAACTGGATGTTTGTGTGCCGGATAGAGCTCATTTTCAGACTCCACCAGACGCTGTGGAGAGAATCGAAGCTAATTTTGTAGTAGCAATTTGTTGACAGACTTCGTTGTACCAAACTATGCAGCTGAGACAAAACATGACCTTAACAAAACATAGTTGTAACCACGCCCTTTCAATTGTCAAAACAATCAGCTGTTTGAAATCACGGAACCCAACGTACTAACCGTTTATTTATGTAATTTTTTTTTATAATCCTGTATAAAACATTAGTCACCATTAAAAATCCACATAACTACACCCCTCAACGAAATAGTGAAAAATATTAAGCAGTACTTGAGATTTATTTATTATGATAAAGCTATATTCTACTTCATCTTGCCTTTGAGATGCTGACCAATCATAATCTCTGAAAGCATCTCGAAACATGACAGCATTACTCTATGCTACTCAGCCACTCTGACAGTATAATTAAACGCATTAAGTCAGCAAGGTATGTTCTTTGAATTCGCAAACCTGTTGTATATTACTCAGCTTAAAGAGTTTTCTTATAAACGTAACACAACTCTACGTGTGCGTCTCTAGTGGCCTGCAGTTCTTCTATACGTCTTTTCAGTTTGTCCCAGGTTTTATTCAGCATATCCTGGGTTACAGACGCCACAGAATTTCTGATTATATCCTGCAGTGTGTGTAAATTAGGAACCGGAAAGAAGAGAGAGTGTCCTTGGCAAATCCCCACAAAAATAAATCCATGGTGGTTACATCGGGGGAACGAGGTGGCCATTTTGTTGGGCCATCACGCCAGATTCCACTTCCGGGGAAGTGGAAATTTAAAAATACCCTTACACATTTAGCCCAATGAGGTGGAGCACCATCTTGCTGGAAAATTATCATAGGTTGCAGTTATTCTAATTAAGGGACTACATACAACTCCAACATATCTAAGTAAACAAACCTATTCACTTTAACTTCCGTGAAGAAAAGTGGTCCAATGATTCCATCATGCATCACACCGCATCAAACTTTTAGTTTTGGACTGGCCCTTTCACTTTCAACCACGATCCTGCAATTTGTACCCCACAAATTTCTACAATTATGTCTGTTAAGCTTTCCACTTAAATGGGAGGTCGTCGAACTGCTATAGGGGATTGAGTCTCGTGAAACAAAAACAACAAAACACACTGTGATTTTTCTTTTTAGCTCACCATTTCTAACATCCTTAGAAATCCTTAGAAATCTAACATCCTTATATATTGAATCATAACAGTATTGTTGTCAATCAGCTGTGTTTAGGTGTTACCAACTTCGTTAAATAAAACCTGATCAATTTCCCTTTAAAACAATGCATACAAGTTAAGTGTGCCTCTAACGATTTTCGTACAGCAAAGCTATTACATCAGGCCAAGTCTTTGTGGACACCCGGTACATAATTACATATTTTGGATCTTTTTTTTTTAAATTCGTATAAGCAAATGCTTAATAATACATAAAATTACTTAATTTTCAATTTTGTTGGTTATTATTAACATTGGTAATAATATTAATTAGAATGTCAAACAAAAGTAGTTTCATATAGAGATTGTCAGAAATAGGCTACTAAATTTATTTATTTCCCACAAAAGAGTAGTAAAATTACCTCTAACTTCGATAAACTACCCTATTTAATAAAAAAAATTACAGTTTACGAACAATATACGAACAGTATACGAATAAACCTCACATATACTGTTTAGGTTTTAATTAGCTAATGTAGAGTAATGCTGTGTGACTATCCTTATTCAATACTTAATTTTTTATATCGATTTTGTGTACTTATTCACCAGTTCGACAATTCGACATTGGATTTATCTTTAATACTCATGGGTCTTCTGATTGGTATCCCTAAAAATCCTGGTTTAGTTAAATTTAGTTGTAAGTTCATTAAAAGAAGAGTGCTGAACAAACATGGATGGCCTAACAAAGTTATAACCATTTGTATAAACAACGTACCTTAAAATCCCATTCAACTTGAATCTACACATGGAAAAAATCTACAAGAATTTAAAAGGGTGAAACAAGAGCACCTTTGAAGAATGTGATGTATAAATCAAAACAGGATAATGTAGTGAGAAGATAAGTCGATCCTTGTGTTTTGAAATGGAAACCATCGCTTTCGAAAAATGAAATCTCGAGATAGAAAGCATACGTGATTTACAATAAAAAATATCAACGTAGTCTACTTGTTTAGTGCAAGTGTGGTGGTACGGGGTGGGTCGCACCCGGGCCCCGAGGGGTGGCGAGGAAAGCCGATGTTTGCCGAAGTTCCGCCGGGCCGTACAGCTACCAGTCGGTAGGAACCCCCCTTACTGTATACAACACGTACGGTTATATCGTTGTTGATGTTAAGTGCAAGTGATGGACTAGTGCTGATTGGATACCTCGTTTACTCAAAATGGTGTATGTGTTAGTGTGTGACGTCACCACCTACGTCATGGAGTGTGACTAGGCTGCAAGCTTAGGTAAGGAGTGGTGCATGTAACCAATATGTGAACGAAATGAGAATGTATGTGAATTGATGGGTTTTTGGTTTTATCAATTTTTTGCATGTCTGATTCGAAACAGTGTAGGAAGTTTAAAACATCTAAAACTTCACACAACTATTATACATATGTTAGTTAGTAATTGGGAGTATCCCCATAACATTTAATGTTAGAAAAGAACTCTCAGTGCATTATTAAAGCAGTTTTACATAACAATCTCAGTACACGTTATGTTAAATTTAAGCTTTCTTTAACCCCATAGTTACCCAGATATATAATATACGTATACAATAAATGAACTCACTAATTTTACCACAGTATATTTTAATACTTTTATATGGTTACTACCATCAACATTTTAGATTAACAGACATTTTAGGATTTTTTTCGTAAGTGTACTTATTTAATATAAAGTTTGATGATTTATATACACTATTCATAAAAACTTACCACTTATTGTACAGTATACGGATATTCTACTTAAATATCTACTATATATCAATAAATAACTAAATAATAGATTACCTGTTATGAGGTATGTTAGCTAAAGCCCACAGTTGTCCATTCAATGACAACGCTTTCCATATATATTTGATAACAAAATAAATAAACCACTGACGCAAATAGTAACTTGTTTTGCCCACATGAGATTATATCTACACGGATTTTAAAGGGACCAATCCGAGAATGTAATGTTGATGAAAATATTCAATTTTATTTCGTCAAAATCGCTAATGCTAATATTATATGAATTTAAACTTCATTAAATGAACAAGCAGCCGAAAATCAATCATTACGGATAACATTCTATATATCTATAAAATAACGTTTGAATTTCAGAAATATTTCAATTCATCACAGTAATTTGTAATTAACTGTTGCCCTAGTGATCAAAGTGATAGCATTACTGAATGCAATTTAATGCTATTTGACATATTTAGTGAATTAATTTAATGAAAATTTATTATGGAGTTTCGAGTTTTATTTGGTGAATTTATTAAAGTTCAATTAGGTTAAATCATTTGTGAAAAAGCTTGTTACATATTATTATTTTGGCATCCTTATGTATAGGTTTTCAAGATAAAACTATAATAACTTGAACAATTGATTGATCACATCCATCTTAATCTAAATCAATCTAAATCTACGGTGTTCGGTGGAATTTTATATGATTTTAAAAGTTAACAATAAAAACCACAACTAAAGAGTCCAATTAATTTTATACTTGAAAATATAATTAACGGTTTTTTTATAATTTGAAAAACAAATAATTTTTAAAAAATTTGAAAGATAATTAGAATTTTTTGTTTAACCAATTGAAGATGTTGAAAAAGTCAACAATTATTTTCAAGTTGTGGTATTTCAATGAAAATTGCCATCGACATAATCAATAAAAGTGTGATAGTAAAAAACTACATTGTTCATATCGGTTGACAAGAAATAGGAAAATGACACTATTATAATACTAAAATAGTAAAGCACATTTACAAAACGTAAAACCTTTAACCTTTGATAGGAGTAGTAAATCTGATTACCTATAATTATAATAGTGAGATCAATGAATTGTTACCATACAAATACAAATACAATCCAAATGATGTCCTTACTTCAGGTTTAATTTTGACATAAATTAGTTTTTCGATCGCCATGTCAACTATTTATCTTTTTAGCTACAACTACTATTTCACTTTTAATTGACTACTTATTTTTCAAATATACATTACTAGATGTAAGTCCTTTTTCAACTAAATCAATGCAACAGAACAATTTAGTATTCATGATCCTATAAAAGCTCAAAACCAACATTTTACACCCCTCTCTACAAATACCACCTTTTAGGAAAGATTGAAATGGGTCATAAAAATAGATTCAAACATATGGCGATAATGGAGAGGTTTGTAGGCCATTGACACGAGTAGCGGCTTCCATTTACAACATGACAATCCGACAATAAATGTGAAATATTATTTGCCCCGACCATCTCTCGGTTTTGGGGTGAGCGTCAAACTTCATATTGATCTTCAAGTGCTGGTGATATTTATTTTTTTATATTTTATACTTTTAGTGTGTCCACATTTATATATATATATATATATATTTACATGTTTTGTAAGTCAACATTTCTAAACCTTGATCCCATAATCAGGTGTAGGTCCAATAATGTTTTCACTCGGAATCAAACCAGCCATCTTCAAATTTCAAAAATTTATTTTTGTTATTATTAATTTTTTTATACCAATTGTTGGATTCTTTAACAGGCATAAACGATATGCTGATTGTCACTACAATATCGGATTGTTTTATTTTGTATTTTCCAATAATGTATATTGTTGTTCCAATAATGTTGTAAATTGTATAAAGAACCAAATTCAGAAACTATTGTAAAAAATCGTCTTTTCGTTTGTTTTTTCATAAGTCTTTACTCGCTATGGCTGGTTAAGTTGTTTACTAATTACTTTTTTTATCATTCTCTTAATAAGCATTACTAGATTTCCGGTTCTATTACAAAGATTTCTTGATACGTATTAAGGAACGTTCCAAATTTTTCGATGGGAAGAAGGACTAAATAAAAGAAACATGGCACCTTTAGATCGTAAAAGAGGAAACAAAGTGCTATGTTTGCTTATTAAGCTGTTATATCGCCCAAAGCGATGGGTGATTTCCTTAAATCGTGCTTCAATGAGGGGTTATGCTTTTCAAACATTATTCATGCCTTAAAGGAGCGTAATAGAATCAACAGTATGTACTTATTATAATCCAATCATTGTACACAGAGCTTGTTGGCCTATAGAGTAGAAATAAACATTTATTAATGTTTTCAATGGAATTACCCTTGAGTTTACATAAAAATACACCTACTAACATAGCATCAAAATCAAATTGTCAATCACCCAGATCAGATTTAAATCTATCCTAATTGCAGTTATTTTCCACTAAACATAACCGTTATTTTACTAAATACGTATATTTTCTTGTACATATCATGAGCATGATCATTGTAAATTAAGGACTTTCATTTAGCAATCCATGATTCAACCAAATCATTCACAACATTAATTTTAGGCCATGTGAAAGACGATAAAAGGTTAAGCTAACTGAGAGGTTTTTAAGTTACTAATACCATTTATACCTAAATACAAAAACAATAACGATAACAAATCCTAATAATATTAATGATTTTTTTATTACTACCACCATGGAGAGCGAGCTGGTTTAGAGGTAGAGCGTGGCACTTCGGTTCCTTAAGTCCCGGGTTCAAATCCCACTAAGTCATCAGTGGTTTTATATAAGTAACAATGCCGCAACACCTAGGTCTAGTCCAAAGTAATGTGAAAACGATCCCGAGATGGAGTCTAGAATCCTAGGGTATAGGAACAAATTAATATGTACCACCATCATTTCATTGAGACCTAGGATTGATGCTAAGTAAACTTAACAGGACCGTGCAATTGGCTGGATAAGCCAAACAAGTTGAATTACAGGCTGAAATAGATTAACAGTTAACGTTACTCCAAACTTTGGGTTAACTCTTTCAAACATAAATCTAAGCTTAGCTTCCCTCTAAGTAAACTTAATCACATTTCCAAACCTTTCATAAAAATAAAATCGTTTTAAAATACATCATGTTGAATAGATATACTCAATAACTAGATCACCATTTATAACATTCTATATTTATTAAGTAACATAACTTATTACTGTTCATAATGTTTCAATTTGGTTAAAAGATTTTAGTATCATAAATTCGATGCTTTTATTACTTGATGGACACTCTGTTCTTTTATTCATAGATACTTAAAGTAAGACAAATCTCTATTATCCATCTTCTAAGCGGTGTCAGGTTTATTTCACCACTAATCATGTATAGTATGGTATAGTATAATCATGTATAGTGTCCTTGTAATTGTGTTAGGTGAATCACCTTAAAAAAAATTTACTACAAGGTACAAACAAAATACACCCCACTCAGTAATTGATTAACAATTGAAATATAGTGTGGTAATTACGTGCATTGATTAGAGTTAGTAAAAGAGGTATTTACAAACACATACCGTTGAGTGTTTATCGTTGGTTTTCTAAAGAGAAAACAAACATTTTACCTCTTCATACCCGTTGAATTCTCGGAACGGTTTTCACTCTCTTAAAATGCAAATGAAATCTTCTTAGCGCCTTTCTTGTAAATGGATCATTCAAATTTCAAACCCATTACTCAGTAGAACGATATTCTAAATCTTATAATCAAGTTTTAATAATTAATTATTATAAATTTATATCGTTCAACTAACATCCTAAATACTTAGAAAATATTTGCTTGTAATGTAGCATAAAAGAGAAACAAATTTGATTACTTATTGTAATTGGGTATATTAAATTTTTATATCCATCAAAATTTCAGATATTGAATCAAATAAATTATTTCAGAACACTTTTATGTATATTAAAAACTTTAAATAAAATCTATTCATACATCATCTTACAACAATCTACGCTCCTCCACCCATGTTTGGGTTCAAATAAGCACCTAGGTTGTGTGATCTCAGTGATTGATAATTTCGGTATTTTTCGCGATTAAAGGATTTATCAAAGGTAGCCATCAACACGACTATAACTTGAATGTTTAGGGAAATTTCTACTTTAGTTAAAGGTTTAAGTTGTATAATAAATTCCTGTTTTATACAGTTTCCAAAGGTTTTGTTTTATGCAACATTTTTCACATAAAACAGCAACACGCTGCAATAAGCTAATTGTGTAAGCATCATATACTTAAATTTTACATTATTTGTTGCACTATTCAATGCTATACCATCCAAACTGTTTGAAGATTCGAACTCCATTCTTCAAGGTGTTGTATGTGTAAAAACACAAACAAAAACTAATATAAAAGTTAACTGTGTATGGAATGAATACAAAATAAACTGTATGAATGAATTGAATTAAGTGGATGTTAAAATGTACGAAAACACTTGAACATATACTTC